GGTGTGACTCAGATTAGTCTGCAATAAAGATAAGACCCAAAAAGGAAACTTCTGGAGGGGGGGGAGACAGAGGGAACCCACAGAAACGCTGTGCTCAGCAGCCTCCCGAGGAGGACCAAGGTCCTTCCTCCCCATCCTGGCGGGGGGGTTGGGAGGGGGGGGACACGGTGAAACTCAGCTTTGGCTTTTTGTTGCCCACCCGGGCACTGCTTGGCCACACCAGGTCACCATTTGCCTTCCTGTGGGGCTGGGGACCCCGGGGGGACGAGGACCCTCCATGGCACGGCTGGTGGGACCCCCACCCAGCAGCACCCCAGGGCAAGAGGAAGGTGATGGATAGGGGGGGGGGGGGGGCCTGGGGATTTCCCCCCCCCAGCCCCGTGCAATCTCGATTCCCAATTTGCAGGAAGGGTTTCTCCTCGTCCCCATGGGACAATTTGGGTCCCCTGGTGGCACATGGCCACCAAGGGGGTGGGATTTGGGGACAATTACCCAATTCCCGGCCACCAAGGGGGTGGGATTTGGGGACAATTACCCAATTCCTAGCCCCCAGACCTCACTGAGGTTGTCTCACCCCACTTCTCCAGTCCTTCCATGGGCTCCCAGTCCCTCCCCAGGCTCCCAGTCGCTCCCCAGTCGCTCCCCAGACTCCCAATCCCACTGTCCATCAGGGAGCCAGATGCCACCACTGTCCCCCCCCCAACTTGTGGTGGGACAAGGGGCCAGGTGGGCATCCCAGTGCCACCTCCAGGGACACCAGGGTCTCTCCCGAGGTGGGACAAAGTGTTTCTTCAAAGAGCTTTTGGTTCCTGCCCGGTGGCCCCGGCGCGGCCACGGGAGGTGACCACCAACGGGGGCAGCGAGGTCGCCGGGGGCAGGGGAGCGAGGAGCCCTGGGCAGAGATTGTCCCCTCGTCCCGGCACGGCCCCCACGGGTCATCTGTTTCCCCTCCACCCCCACCAAGGACCGGGTATAAATGGGTGGCCCCAGCGCTGACCCACGGCATCGCTCGCCACCGCGGCCATGAGAGGGTGTTTCTCCTTCCTCCTCCTCCTCCTCCTCCTCCTCCTCTTGTACCCGGGGCCGAGAGGCGCCGTCTCGCTCCTGCGGTACCGTTACGACTGCGGGGATTATGGGATGCAGCTGCTGGCGTACCCCTCCCGCGGCCGCACCGTCCGCTTCAAGGTCATGGGTGAGTGTAAAGATGGGGGGGGGACGTGGGGCAGGTGGGTACGAACCTCCCCCCACCCCCTTTTGGTGTCTCCTTGGGGTGACATGTGCCATATCTCCCCAGGGTTACCCCCAAATCCATCCATCCCTGATGGGATGGGTGGTGGTGAGCTTTGGGTGGTGGTGGTGGTGGTTCTGAGCATCACGGTTGTGCCACCTCACACACCCCCACCCCACATCGCCCCGTGCCCCACGGTGTGTGGTGTCCCCCCCCCCACACACAGATGAGTTTGGCACCCGCTTTGAGGTGGCCAACTGCTCCATCTGCCTCCACTGGCTCAACACCGGGGCGGACGGCGCCGTCATCTTCTCCTCTGGCTATGAAGGCTGCCACGTCCTGGTGAAGGTGAGGGTCCCGTCCCACCCGTGGTGACCCCCAGCAGCTGTGGGGCTGGGGAGGGGGGTGTGTGTGTGACCATCCCTCCCTGCCACCCCACAGGAGGACCGCTACGTCCTGAGGGTGCAGCTGGAGGAGACGCTTCTCAGCGGGGTCCCGGTTGCCTCCTATGAAGTCAACATGACCTGCCCACAGCCGGGGGACTACGAGATCCTCACGGATGGCAACCTGGGCACCAAGCAGCAAGCTGGCCGAGGCAACAGCGTCCACCAGAGCCAGACTGATGTCCTTGTCCCCCTGGCCCAACCTGGCCTCCTGCAGCACGTGTCCCAGTCCACCCTCACCGTCTCAGGATCCCAAGTCTCTTCCCAAACCCACTTGGAGCAGGTTCACCCCGTGGCCCAGACCCAACCCGTCCTGGTGCACCCCCAACCCAGCCTGGTTCACTCAGGGCTTCAGTCCCAGCATGGCCAGGGTCTCCAGGGGCTTCAGCCCCAACCAGGGATGGTTCATCCCCTCACCCAACCCCAACAGGGTTTAATACGCCCCGGGATGCAGCCCCCAGCCCAGCCTGGGCTCCGTCACCCGGGGGGTCAGACCCAAAATCAACCTGGGATGGTGCAGCCTGGAGCTCAAAACCAACCAGGTCGTCTTCGTCCAGGGCTCCAGACCCAAAACCAGCCTGGAATGGTGCACTCTGGGGGTCAAAACCAAGCAGGTCTTCTTCTTCCAGGAGTTCAGACCCAAAACCAACCAGGGCTCCATCACTCAGGGCTTCAGACCCAAAACCAGCCTGGGCTGGTGCATCCTGGGGGTCAAAACCACCAAGGACATCTTCGTCCAGGGGTTCAGACCCAAAACCAGCCTGGGCTGGTCCATCCTGGGGGTCAAAACCACCAAGGACATATTCGTCCAGGGGTTCAAACCCAAAACCAGCCTGGGCTGGTCCATCCTGGGGGTCAAAACCACCCAGGTCATCTTCGTCCAGGTCTCCAGACCCAAAACCAGCCTGGGCTGGTCCATCCTGGGGGTCAAAACCACCAAGGACATCTTCGTCCAGGTCTCCAGACCCAAAACCAGCCTGGGCTGGTCCATCCTGGGGGTCAAAACCACCAAGGACATCTTCGTCCAGGGTTCCAGACCCCAAACCAGCCTGGGCTGGTGCACCCCAGTGTCCACGCTGGTGCCCAGACTCAAGCAGGCTTCATCCGCATCGGAGCTCAGTCCCAAAACCAGGGGGGCTCAGCCGGCTCCAGCCTCCAGCCCCATTCCCAAACTGGGCTCCTCCGCCCTGGGCTCCAGAGCCAAACTGGGTTGTCTCACTCCGGCTCCCAGTCTGGCTCGGTGCGCCCAGCTCTCCAAAGCCAAGCTGGGTTGGTACAAACCACCCATTCCCGACCGGGTTTGGGGCATCCAGGACTCCAGTCCCGACCGGGTTTGATCCGTCCTGGACTTCAGGCTCAGCTCCAGTCGGGACTGGTGCGACCAGGGCTGCAGCCCCAAGCCCAGCCCGGCTTGTTGCGTCCCGGCCTTCAATCCCAGGCCAGTTTGCTGCAGTCCACGGCTCTCTTCTACCCCTCGGCGGGGGCAGGTCAGTCACCATGAGGGGGGGGGACACACACGGAGGGGTGAAAGCTGGGGTGGGTCCTCCCTGTCCCTGGAGAAGTGGGTGAGAGATGAGAGGGGGTGGTCGGGGTGGGCAGGGGGATGCGGAGGGGCAGGGGGATGCTCAGGGGGGCAGGTCAGGGGGATGCTGAGGGGCAGGAGGATCCTTTGGCGGGGGGGCAAGTAAGGGGGATGCTCTGGTGGATGCTGAGGGGTAGGAGGATGCTTGGGTGGGCAGGTCAGGGGGCCGCTCAAGGGGATGCTGAGGGGCAGGAGGATCCTTTGGCGGGGGGGCAAGTAAGGGGGATGCTCTGGTGGATGCTGAGGGGTAGGAGGATGCTTGGGTGGGATGCTGAGGGGCAAGGGGGTGCTCAGGGGGATACTGAAGGGCAGGAGGATGCTCGGGTGGGCAGGTCAGGGGGATGCTGAGGGGCAGGAGCACAATTTGGTGGGTGGGCAGGTCAGGGGGACGCTCAAGGGGATGCTGAGGGGCAGGGGGATGCTCGGGTGGGATGCTGAGGGGCAGGGGAACGCTCAGGGGGGCAGATCAGGGGGATGCTGAGGGGCAGGAGGCTGCTTTGGCAGGTGGGATGCTCAGGAGGATGGCTCAGGGGGGACACTGAGGGTCAGGAGGATGCTCCGGTGGGTGGGCAGGTCAGGGGGACGCTCAAGGGATGCTGAGGGGCAGGGGGATGCTTGGGGGGAATGCTGAGGGGCAGGGGGATGCTCGGCTGGGCAGGTCAGGGGGATACTTGAAGGACAGGAGGAAGCTGAGGGGCAGGGAGATTCTCAGGGGGACATTGAGGGCAGCATCCCCTCCTCTGTCACCCCAGGCACCCAGCTGACGCGGGAGCAGTGCCAGGTGGGGGTGGGGAGGATGCCCTGCATGGCCCCCCCGGGCCGGGAGGCATGTCTGCAGGCGGGCTGCTGCTACGACGACATGGACCGCACGGCGCCCTGCTATTACGGCAACACGGGTAGGGGACGGGGAGGGGTCCCTGGGGACACCCCCCACAGCTTCGGCCACCACTTGTTGTGGGGTCTACAAGTCCCCCTTGGCTGATGGGGAGGGGTCCCCTCCCTCCACAGCCACCGTGCAGTGCCTGTTGGAGGGTCACTTCGTCCTGGTGGTGCCGCGGGGGTTGGCCACCCAACCCTACAACCTGGACAGCGTGCGTTTGGCCAGTAGCCAGCCGGGCTGCGAGCCGGTCAGGGTGACCGAGACCTTCGTCATGTTCCGCTTCCCCGTCACGGAATGTGGCACCACCGTCCAGGTAAGGGTGGGACATCCCCCTCGGCACTGGTGAGACCTCACCTTGAGTGCTGTGTCCAGTTTTGGGCCCCCTACCATAAAAAAGACCTAGAAGTGCTGGAGCGGGTCCAGAGAAGGGCGACAAAGCTGGTGAGGGGTCTGGAGAATAAGTCTTATGAGGAGAGGCTGAGGGAGCTGGGGGTGTTCAGCCTGGAGAAGAGGAGGCTGAGGGGAGACCTTCTTGCTCTCTCCAACTCCCTGAAAGGAGGGTGTAGAGAGGTGGGGGTCGGTCTCTTCTCCCAAGTCACAGGTGACAGGACGAGAGGAAATGGCCTCAAGTTGCACCAGGGGAGGTTCAGGCTGGATATTAGGAAAAATTTTTTCACTGAAAGGGTTCTCAGCCCTTGGAATGGGCTGCCCAGGGAGGTGGTTGAGGCCCCATCCCTGGAGGTGTTCAAAAGACAGGTTGATGTAGTGCTGGGAGGTCTGGTTTAGTGATGATGCTCCTTGTTTGGTGTGTGGGTGTCTATTTTTGTCAGTTGGGTTGACGGTTGGACAAGATGATCTTTAAGGTCCCTTCCAACCTAGAAGATTCTGTGATTCAAGCCGCTCAGAGTGATAATAGGGGACCCTGATGTGTCCCACCTCCCCCCCCAAGGTGATCGAGGACCGACTGATCTACGAGAACCAACTGATCTCCACCATCGATGTCCAGGGGTCCCCCCGTGGCTCCATCACACGTGACAGCACCTACATGTAAGGGAAAAGGGGCGGGGCAAACCCAGGAACCCCCCCCCTCAGCAAAGCTCATCCTTTTCCCCCTTTACCTGCAGCACCCCCTTGACCAGCTCTTCCCCTTTTCCTTGGCCACTGGTGCTTGGTGGTGGGATTGGGGACCTCCAGGGCATGTCCACCCCTTTCCTTGGGCTGGTGGTGGGGGCTGAAGGATATGGGGGGGCCTCCAACTCTGCTCTGCTCCCCCCAGCCTCCAAGCTCGCTGCATCTACAACGCCAGTGACCTCCTGCCGCTCCGCATGGAGGTGGCTGCACCACCTTCTTCCACCCCCATGGCCATGTTTGGGCCACTGGGGCTCCAGCTGCGCATCGCCACCGGTGAGGAACCCCATCTGTTGTCCCCCCCAACCCCATCGTCCTCTCTGTCACCCCCCCTGAGCCTCTCCCCCTTCCCGCAGACGAGACCTACAGCTCCTACCACCCCGAGGGTGACTACCCCTTGGTGAGGGTCCTGAGGGACCCCATCTACGTGGAGGTTCGTCTCCTGCAGAAGACGGACCCCAACTTGGTGCTGGTCCTGCACCACTGCTGGGCTTCCCCCAGCACCGACCCCGCAGCTGAGCCCCAGTGGCCCATCCTGGTGGACGGGTGAGCAGAATTGAGGAAGGGGACAGAAAGATGGAGAGGAGGAAGAGGAGGAGAGGGGTCATCCTCTTAGCTTTGCAAGAGGATCTAGATAGATTGGATCACTGGGCCAACGCCAATGGAATGAGTTTCAACAAGGGCAAGTGCCAGGTCCTGCACTTGGGCCACACCAACCCCCTGCAGCGCTACAGGCTGGGGGAAGTGTGGCTGGAGCTGCCTGGAGGAAAGAGACCTGGGGGTTTGAGTTGCCAAACGGCTGAATATGAGCCGGCGTGTGCCCAGGGGGGCAAGAAAGCCAATGGCATCCTGGCTTGTATCAAAAATAGTGTGACCAGCAGAAGTAGGGAGGTGATTGTGCCCCTGTGCTCAGCACTGGGGAGGCCACACCTCGAGTGTTGTGTCCAGTTTTGGGCACCTCAATCCAAGAGAGATCTGGAGGTGCTGGAGCGAGTGCAGAGGAGGGCAACGGAGCTGGTGAGGGGGCTGGAAGACAAATCATATGAAGAGCGGCTGAAGGAGCTGGGGCTGTTTAGTGTGAGGAAGAGGAGGCTGAGGGGAGACCTCATCACTCTCTACAACTACTTGAAAGGACACTGTAGAGAGGTTGGTGCTGGTCTCTTCTCACAGGTAATTAGTGACAGAACGAGAGGGAACGGCTTCAAGCTCCAACAGGGGAGGTTTAGATTGAACATTAGGAAGGAATTTTTCACCCAAAGAGTGGTCGGGCATTGGAACAGGCTGCCCAGGGAGGGGGTGGAGTCCCCATCCCTGGCTGTGTCTAAGGGCCGTTTAGATGCAGTGCTGAGGGACATGGGGTAGGGGAGGACTTTGTAGAGTAGGGGAGATGGTTGGACTCGATGATCCCAAGGGTCTCTTCCAACCTAGACAATTTTATGATTCTATGATCAGCACCAACCCAAGGTCCTTCTCGCACGCCCAGGTGCCCCTTCGCAGGGGACAACTACAGGACCCAGCTTGTCCCCATGGGACCGGCCTCACCACAGTTGCCCTTCCCAAGCCACTACCAGCGTTTTGTCATCTCCACCTTCACCTTCGTGGAGCCCCCCACCATGGCAGTGCTGGAGGGAGAGGTGAGGGGGCAGGGGGGAGGACAGTTACTCTGGTGGTCCCCCAAAAACCCTCCAAAGTTGGGAACCCCCCATCCCAACACCCCCAAACCCACCCCAGCAGCTTTCCTGAGCAAACCGTGGTCACTGCCCCCCATGTTGCTCCACACCCTGGAGCTCCACAACCACAGTGAGGAACCCAGGCTGCTTTGGTGGCTTGAAGGACCTTCCTTGGGGGTCTCCAGCACCTTTTGGGGACCCCAGCACCAGCCCCTGATGCTGTCCCCCTCCCCGTGGCTCCCAGGTGTACATCTCCTGCAGCGCCTCGGTGTGTCACCTCTCGCAGCCCGAGCCCTGCCGTCCCTCCTGCCAGCTGGGAGTGCCATCACGTAAGTCTGGGTGCCACCAGCCCCCCTGGGGCAGGTGGCCACGGTGGGGGGGACCTCAACCACCCCCAGGGCTTTCCAAGCCAACCCCCTGCCCCTCCTGCAGGAGCCCGTCGGTCCCTGGAGGAGGGGAGAATGGCAGAAGCCCTGGGCTTGGTGACATCTCGGGGACCCATCGTCTTGCCAAAGGTCCCCAAGTTACAGAGAGGCTGAGCCCAAAGGCACTGGGTGAGTGTGTGTGTTCCCCCCTCCCCCCAATTCCTAAATTTCACCTTCATCCCAGCTCTAATTAACTCTCATCATCATCTTCCTCCCGTGCAGCCACCGCCCAGAGGCTGCCTGACATTTGGGGGCAAACTGGAAAAAATAAAGCCATGTTCAAGGTGGAGGTTGTGGGGTTGGTTTGTCCTGGGTTGGGGAGGAGGGGGGGGGGACTGGAAAGAAGAGGGGTCCCTGAATAATTCTTTATTTCCATAACGAAACTAGATTAATTGCTTACAAAACCTTCATGGCCCTTCCCTCCCTCCCTCCCTCCCTTCCTTCCACGTGTTCCCGGCCGCAATCCCGGCCCCAAACATCCCACGGGGGAGGTGGGAGCCTTTTGTTGCATCAAGTTACGAGCACAAAACAGAATCTAAAGTCCCCCCACCCCCCCAAAAAAAAACACCCAACCAAGAAAGACACACACAAAAACCAGAAAAGAAGAAAACTAAACCAACAAATCCATGAGGAGAGGGGAAGGCAACATCCAACCTCCCCCCTCCATCTTCTGGAGAAG